CATTTATTTATTGAACTTAAACTGCTCCTTACTCCATCTGTGTTAACGGTGGTGCTTTTAAACTGTTTGTCCCAGAAAAAGGATCATAAAATGTTAGAGAAAGTCTCACGGTCTAGACCAGAGAGAAGGAAATCTGACAAATGGAACCCAAGCCAGAAGAAATCCCTGCTTTCTCTTGCAAGGAGACAGCTCCAAACAAGAAGGTGGGAAGGATGCTGCCACATTTGTCTCCTATATCCTCTCCCAGACAAAGCACAAGCCTCAGAAATGGAAACTTTTGGTCCAGTTATGGAATGACTTCTGCCAAGTATCTGGTCTTTCCCATTGGACCTCTTGAATCAATGACGCATTTATTAAGCACTTACTGTGTGCAAAGCACTATGATGCGCTCTGAGGATACAAACAGAAAAATCCTCTTGGGAAGCCAAAGAATGGCAGGTGATTCTGTAAGGGGAGTGAATAAGGGAGCAACCTTGTCTAGCAAGAGAGGAGAAAGGCTCAGAAAAGAAGACTCATGGTAGATAATATGCCCTAAGAGACCACCAACATCTAAGCATGATGCTTGGGATAATAAGGGAGGGGATGTGAGGGGAATAAGCCTACTATCAGGCACTGTGCTAAGTGCTTTACAAATATAATCTCATTTGATCCTTACGACAACTCCAGGTGGCAGGTATTATTATCATCATCATCCCTATTTTACAATTGAAGAAACTGAGGCAAACATGTTTAGTAACTTACTGCACTAGTTAGTGTACAAGGTAAGATTTGAACTCAGGTCTTCTTGACTCCAGGCCCAGCACTCTATCCACTATACCACTTAGCTGCCTCAGTATCCCTCACAATTTTTTCTAGGATTTCTTTGGCTTGTAGTCACTTGCACCTTGGTTTAAAAACTGGCTTTCGGCCCCAGACTTTACCATATGCTCCACATCCCTGGCATTCGCCTGGGGCAATTGGCCCTTTCCGGTTAATTAACTGCCCTTTCATTGTCTGCCCCGGCCCCACCCTAGACCTCTACTCCTGGATCCTATCTAGACCCCAGGCTCCCTTGGCCTTGTGGTCCAGATCCCTGGCATTCTGTTCACCCCAGCTTACTGGCCACTCCCATCCAGATCCTCCCCAGACCCCTCCTCAGTCACCTCAGACTACTCAGCCACTCCTAGATCCCTCCTACAGTCCTTCTGTATGTAAGATCCATTTTGTCTCCATTAAGGGGCTCAGATTCTTAAAATCTGGTCAAGGCTCAGATTCAATGTGGCCCATGGCTCAGATTCAATCTAGCCCTATTGTCAATACGAGCGTTACAAATGTTCAGATCCCTTAAGAGTCTGGCCAATATGGCGGATCTTTAATAAACCTTATCTTTGGCGGAAAGAAGGTTTGGGTCAAATTCATTCAGGCAGGATCCGAGTGTCGCTATTTTGGGGTCCCAGCACCCAGTACCCCTAAACCTTAATACCACCAATACACACAGTGTCTGAGAGAGAGAGAGTGGAACACACCTAAAGAAATCTAGGAGGAAAATACATATACTTGGGGCAACTCACAACTCTGGCAGCATACTTAGATGTCTCTTTTAGGGCACATTACCTACCATGAATCTTCTTTTCTGAGCCTCCCTCCTCTCTTGCTAGACAAAGTTGCTGTTCTGCTACTCTCAGGCCATTGAAGCAATGTTAAGCTCTCCTTTAGTAGAGCAGCAGTGTTCCACACTTTCAGTTAAACAATAGCTCTAAATCAAGGGTCTGAAGCTTTCCAGGTTTTCCCTTGACTGGCATTGAAGTAGCGTTAAGTATTTCAGCGTCAGATAGTTCCTTTTAGCCGAACGACTGCGAAGCTCCTCCATTCTGTTTTGAGTTTTAGAAGCTGCTCCCTTTCAAGGCAGAGAAGTCAGTAAAAGGTAACAGAATCAAGCTATTGAGGATTTCCCTTTTCTCAGGTTATAGATGGTGCTGAAGAGTCCATTCAGCACTGCATATAAGCCAGAGGATTCTGCTTCGTCCCATCAGCTTCCAGCAGCTATGATACTGTTTTCCTATCAAACAGTTCCCCAAATAATAATAGCTAACATTTACGTAATATGTGAATTATTACTTATCATTTATTAATATTATTTAAACCTAATTTTATGTGGCTAAAAAAATTGTCTAGCCCAAAAAAGCTTACTGTGGAGGTCAAAAAAGCTTACTGTGGAGGTCAGGTTGACCTTGGAGATACTCCAGCATGGTTGTAAGGAAAGCTTAGACCCCACCCAGTGCCTGTTTTGTGTCTACCCAAAGCTTATGTGATGGGTTTTCCAAAATAGATGGACTTACCTGCTGAGACACATGTCAAGCTGCCCTTATCTTGGAGACTACATGTAGATGAGGCCAATCAGGCAAATGTCCTTATGCCCTTGTCTGAACTTTATATAATGTAACCTCACAAAGACTTACAGAGATTGCTGCTCCTTCTTTTGCTCTGTCTCTATCAAAAGACCTAATAAATTTCTTTCTAAAACTAAAAAAACCAAAACAAAACTGGCTTTCAATTATTCAGGCAAGGATTGGAGGCTGGTCTTTTGGTTTTAGTTCAGCATTTAAAACTCTCTGTAACTGACATTCCCAGCTGGAGTCCCCGGCTATCCTTGGGGCAAGGAGCCACGGCAGGGTGTGTGTTATCTATGACGGGTCTGATAGTCTGTCCAAACACTGTTCTCTCAATGACCCCGTTTGTCTTTTTAAACATGACAAAAGTCCAAGATCATGCGCATACAACAGGGACATCAGATCTCTACTTTGGTTCACCTGCCACCTCTGCTCTCTGAAGCTCAGGAATTCGCCATTTGGGCTCAGCCTTTTTTATTTTTAATGTTTTCTTGACGCTCTCATACACATGTTTTTTAACATTACTGTCACTTCCCAATGATTCCTACCTCACTTATCCTATCTAGTTCTGCTAATAAAGTACAATTAAAGCAAACAAATCAACACATGGACCAGGTCTGCCCATTTTAACACTTCTCTATGGAGAAGCAGTCGTTTTTAGTTTAAAAATAAAAAGATCCCCAGAGTGTTGTCTTTCTAATAAGAAGATAAGATGTCTAGGAACCAGTAAAACACTTAGGAACCAGACAGACATATTAAATAAAACATATTAGAAAGTGTTTTCAAATGGCCAAATATAATGATTATTTTTTTTCCTATGTATCTGTACAAGTAGGTGGGAAGAGGAGAAGGATATATCATAGTCACAGGCAACTGAAGCCTAACTTCACAGAAAACTGGGTATTTTTCATTTAAAGGGATTTTTCCTCTGAAACCTAAATGAGAATGATAGATCTAAAACTAGGAGGGACCTCAGGGGACGTTTAATCAAATTCCATTTTACAGATGAGGAAACTGAGGTTAAGCGACTTTCCCCAGGTCATCCAGGTAGTAAATGTCAGAAGCTGAATTTGAATCTCTGACTCTAGGGGTGGTGCTCCAGCCACAGAAAAAACTAGCAGGGGTCTAGGCCAAGAAGGGGCAGACCTGAAGAATCAACCATCCTCTTAGCTGAGCAAGTGTATGGAAAGATAAGGGAGGTTTTGTTGTAATAATGCAATATTAAAAATATAGTAATAAATGTTGGTCAGTCAGCCTGGAAAAAAAAGATAAGGGAGATTGACAAATAGGGTTTGGAAACTGGAAGGAGGGTCACTGGCGGGCAGAGTAATGGGATTTGGAAAATGGTTTGGAGATGAGTGTTGTTCAGTTGCTTCAGTTGTGTCCGACTCTTCATGACTTCATTTGGGGTTTTCTTGGCAGAGTTACTAGAGTGGTTTTCCATGTCCTCCTCCAGCTCATTTTTACAGATAAGGAAACTGAGGCAAACAGGATGAAGTGATTTGGCCAGGGTCACATAACTAACAAGTGCCTGAGGCTGGATTTGAGCTCAGGAGGATGAGTCTTCCTGACTCTGAGCCCAACACTCTATACTATAAGGCCACCTAGCAGCCCTCCAGAGTAGGAAGTGGGAAATCTTTAAGGGAAGGCATTGCCATTGAGGGGGATGGGGAAAGGTCTCCTGAAGAAGGTAAGATGTGAGCCAAGTGTTGGAGGAAGCCGGGAAGCAGAGGGCATGAAGAAGAACATTTCCAGCATGGGGGACTGCCAGTGATAAAGCATGGAGCTAGGAAATGTAATCTTCTGTGCATGCAACACCAAGTTATTTTTTGGAGTGAGAGAAACGGGAGCCATCTTCATGGGCTGAGGTGTGGTTTGTAGCAGGCCCCAGTGGAGTCATTATAGGGCTTCACTAATGGCTTCCAAGATCGTCTTCACTTGTGGCAGCAGAAAGAAAAGTCAAACACACTTACCCTATGCTACTTTTTGGCACAGACTTCCTCTCAAACTCAGACAGGACTGGACTCCATATAATTACTCAAGTTCTGAATGAGAACTCTGATGCAGAGAGTTTAATATCAGAATTCCCACTGGCATGTTTTACCATCACATACATGTTGTTGGAAATACTAGCAGCGACATTAACATTTCCAGGCAAAATGGCAGCCTCGCACCAGGGATTCTGAGCCACACTGCGACACAGTTACCAAGTTCCTTGAATTAGCCCCTCTCCTTCTTGAATATTCTTAAGTAGTCTATGACAATTAAAAAGTGGAATGCTCCCCTGCTTCTAGATGGTCAAAGGAAGGGTCTTTCTCAATTAACGAAAGTGAGAGTTTGGGAGATCTAAGCCCTCTTTCTTCATCCTTCACAGTACTGATTCTATGTCTGGGTTGAACCATCTCTAAAGATGCCAGAGTCCCCGGGACCAACTTGTAAGAGGCTGCTACCTGCCTCCCTTTTTGTACAGGTGTACCAAGGTGAGCAGCCTTGTCGGGTTATCCCATAGCACCTCAGAAAATACCCCATTGCCCTCTGGGACAGGTCCTTTATAGCCGCTTTGAGGTGACCATGTTTTTCTTAAAGCAATTGCAGGAAAAGCCTCACGAAGGTGAGAGCCCTGCTCCTTACCTTCATCCCAAAGGACTGCATCCTGGTGGCTACTTCTCTCCCAATTCTCCCCAGACCCAGGATCCCCAGAGTTTTCCCATGCAGCTCGGTCCCCATGAACTACAACAGAACAGAAAAAAAGGCATGAGCCTCACGCATCGCCACCAAAAGAAATGCTCTGACGTTCACATGGGAAGCAGTGACCACCTCCAATGACTCACCTTTTTTCGTTCCCATTTTCCATTCTTCATGGAAGCTGCAGCTTGGGGGATCTGCCTGGAAAGAGAGAGCTAGGTGCAGCAGGAAGTCATGACCCCCATCATCCTAGAAAGGACACGTGTACTCTGGACTTGAACAATCACAGCCTTTCTCACCATTGTCTTAACTCATGGAGAGAGCAAAAGCTCAACCCTGGGAACCTATAGAGTAGCTAAGAGCAGGAAGAGAACTCCTGCCCTCGCAGCCTCCCCAGTGCTTCGGGGCATCCTAGATTTACAGTTCAAAAGGCCGAGGGGATTTCTGGGGAATATACTTGGGGATGAGTCTAAAACTGAAACGTCAATCCCTACACGAGAGGCCAGGGGCTTACCAACTACCTATAGATCAAACAAATTTAGAGCTGAAAGGATCCTTAGAGGCCATCTAGTACAGGGGTGGGAACCTGTGGCCTCAAGGCTACATGTGGCCCTCTAGGTCCTCAAGTGAGGCCCTCTGACTGAATCCAAACTTCATAGAACAAATCCCCTAAATAAAAGGATTTGTTCTGCAAAACTTGGATTCGGTCAAAAGGCTGCACTCAAGGACCTAGAAGGCCACATGTGGCATCAAGAGAGCAGGTTCCCTATTCCTGATCTAGTCCAACCCCTTCATTTTACAGATCAATAAACCGAGGCAGCAGGTGGTTAAATGACTTGTCTAAACTTAAACAGTAAGTAAGCTACAGAAGGCAAATTTTGAACCCACATTGAGATCTTAGCAAAATATTTTAATTTAATATTAATTAATATTAATTACTTAATTTAATTAATTTAATATTTAATTTAATATCTCTCATTCTATTCTTATAAAAAATATGGAGACATAGGAGCTGGCTGATAGTACAGGTCAGGGGATTTGAAGCTAGCTGAATAGATAGATCTATAAAGGAATCACTTAAAGGTTCAACAATACCTCCAAAGGAGGCCTCCAGTGGAGCATCTCAGAGTATTTGGTTGGCTATGAGCTGTTTAACAATTTTCTTTCCAATTAATTTAGATAAATGTATAGACAGTATCAAAAGGGCATAATGGACAGTCCAAGGGTCACTGCTATAGAATGCCTAAGTTTCCGTAGGCAGATTTATTCAATGCTAATGAACTATTGGCATTGGGTTAATGGATGAATGAGACTACAGAGGAACCATAAACTTACCTGGCCAGGCTCATGATCATTCCACAGGTGAGCTCAGCAGCACTGAGGCTGTTTCCATTAGGGGTGCTGAAAGTCAAGGCAAAGAAAAACTCATCAATGGAACTACTGAGCTGTACCAGATGTTCCCACTTAAAGCAGAATGTTCATAATTTCAGTCAAATTTCAACGTCTCGTTCTGGGTTCTCTTTTCTGTGCTATTTCTCATCAGTTTTCATAGCATTCTCTTTGTCAGATCCTTTAGTCTCAGGACTTTCTTCTTTATGCACACATCCTACCTCAGACAATAATGGTCTCTGTTTTATCATAAGGAGAAATGAAGTCCTAAGGAAAAATTTTGTTTCAAAAAGTTTTTGAAGGGTAAGAGTTGTTTTGAGATAGGGTTTGGAGAAAAACTAGAGGGAAAAGGAAAAACAAAATTTCTTTTAGGCCTTTCTCATATCTATAAGTAGAAGTTACAAGGAAATTAAAATGTCACACCCAAGTTACCCAAGAAAATGGTGGCAGAGCCCAAACTATTGTATAATCCTTCTGACTCCCAACTCACTGTCTTACTGACAAGACTCTATTAACTTCCTGACTCAGAAAATGTGGAGGAACATATACAATTTGTAGAGTTGGGTCATTTTCCTTCTAGGAACAGGATAGATACTGCCTATGCCAGGGTCCCATTATGTCTGACTGTCCCAGGACAGATATGTCAGCACGTGGAGAGAAGGTCTTAGAAGACACTATTAAGGATGTAGCAGTCCTTGGATTATTTATGACTTATATTTAACCCTGGCAAACCCCTGGCATTCTTTGTGCCCAAGACCTTTGAGAGCTCAAATCATGGTATAGTATATAAGACTTCCCCGAGGATAAGGAAACTCATATACAAACACACAAATAAAGACAAACAAGGAAAGTAAATAAGGAACATCAAATCCCATAGAGCCATATTTTCTCCCCTTCTTCAAGGGCAATGAGCTCTGCAAAAGCAATATAATGAACCAGCCTTCAAACTGAACTCTTCAAATACATTGATGGTAGATATCTCCAGCATGGGCAAAGAGGACTATTGGCAGGAGTCTCTGCCTTCCTGATTGCAGTAACTGGGTAATAGTGAATATTCTTATGGATCTTTATTGACATCTGACATGGAATTGTCCAAGTAAACCCCGCACCGTGAATGAAGGCTGGAAGGGTCATCTCAAGGCAAATAGCAGCCCAATAAGCATAGAGGAAAGCCTAGGAACGTGCTTTGATGGTGAGTGGAACGATCAGATGAGATCAGATGAGATCACATAGCTAACATGCTTTACAAACCTTAAAGTCCTATATAAATGCTAATCATTACTACATTTCACGTATGCCATCTTTCTTCTTGGTCTAAACGTTAGCCCATCTGGAAATGGAAAGCTAGAGTAGATGGCTCTCTGACATCTGTGCCACCTCTGTGATTCAGCAGGAGCTGAAATAGCTACCCTGAGACTAATCATAACAATTAGTATTTTCCCTTGTTTGCCAGTCCACACCTTCACCATCAAACCCTTTTTTGACTATCGTTTATTCAAATTTATACAGCATTTGGATGGGGTTACAAAATTATTTTCTTATAACTTACTTTGCAAAGGAGGCAATATAACTATTACTGTTCCCATTTAAGAGATGAGAAAACTGAGGCAGGAGGACTGATTGGCACCCGCCTCACGCCCCATACTCACTTCATGACGAGTATGCCTTTTCTCGTTGCTGCCTCCAAATCCACATTGTCCACACCAGTGCCGGCCCTGCCCACCACCTGGAGCTTCTCAGCAGCATTGATGACATCTGCGGTCACTTTGGTCCCTGAGCGGACGATCAGCCCCTCACAGTCCTGAAGCACAGTGAGTTAACACAACACATTAAAGTTTACAAATCACTTTACACCTAACATGATCTCCTTTGATCCTTACCATAACCCTGGGAGATAGGTGCTATTATTATACCCATTTCACAGACGAAGAAACACTCTGAGAATAGTAAGTGACTTGTCCAGGGTCACAAAGCTAGCAAGTTTCTATGGCAGGATTTGAAATCAGGTCTTTCTGACCACAAGATACTAATCTCTACGTGCTCTTCTTAGCTCTAAGAAGTCTTCATAGAGGAAGCATTTGTGGTGAAGTGATATTTGAGCTGAACCCTAGAAGAAAGCTAGGTTGCTAGGTGGATAAAGCACTGGGCCTGGATTCAGGGATACCTGAGTTCAAATCCAAATTCAGACACTGACTAGCTGTGTAACCCTGAACAAGTCACTTGACCACTGCCTGCCTCAGTTTCTTCCTCTGTAAAATGGGGAATAATAATAGTGCCTACCTTCCAGGGTTGTTGTGAGATTCAAATGAGATCATATTTGTAAAGTGCTTTGCAAACCTTAAAGCGCTACATAAAGGCTATTTTAACCAACAGAAATACGGAAACCACTCCAAATTGGGAGAACGTTCTATTTTTAGACAGAACCAGTCAATCAATCATTTATTAAATGCCTACTATGAACCAGACAGAAGGGAACGTGGGGCAGAAGGGAACCCTCAATTCCTAAGAGCCATAACCAATGGAGTGAGTAGTGGGGTTAACCACGTAGCCTGAGGAAAACCTCCAGAGGCCCCATTTTAGGTTTCTGGTGCAATCTTGAATTATTTAATGCTTATCTTCCCAGAACAAGAATATTCTTGCCTAGGCACATGGTGAGAGGTCCCATAACAAGCAGGGTGGGAAGCAAGTCTGCTTCTGTCTCTTGTTTTACCAAGGGTGGAGGGAGCCCATGTGAGGTACTACAAAATGAAAAAGGCCAGAATTCGGGGGATTTGGAGTCTAGTACAAGTCTGCCATTGACACGTGACCTCGGGTAATCTCATGTAGCCTCCCTGGGTATTAAGTTTCTCATCTGTGAAATGGGGGAGCTGGACAAGTTCTCCCACCCCAGATATCACCTTCAATCTTTCTTTCCTTTTTTTTTCTTGTTCAAGTATCTAGGCCACGAAGGCAGTGAAAACAGGTTATTTTTGAATGTTGAGTGCTTTGATTATGGTTTTGCAATGCTACTTTCTCAAGTCTGACAAGCCAGGGCAAGCAGCCTAGGAAAAAGCCAAGGTGGGGTGCTAGTTAGACTGGAATATTTATGCAAAAAGAAATAAAAAAATAAAACCCAACCAACGACAACCCCCAAACCCAGAAAGCTAGAGCTGTCCCTCTTCCTGATGATGCCTGGGCAGTAAAAATTAAGACTTCAGTTAGACCACTGGGCTCTTAGGTTGGTCACAAAGAAGGTCTTTCTGGTGGTGAGCTCATAATACCATTAAACCTTACTGGGCATCTGATAGATAAAAACTGATAAAGAATTAAAAAGGGGATTCAGAGATCCAGGTACTTCTCCATGTAGGAAACGCTGAAAAGGAAGTGGAAAAGTAGGATAAAATTTACCTGCATCAAACTTTTGCCTTGGGAGAACTGGATATAAGCAAAATTTGGTAAACTACAGCCCAAGGGTTAGCTAGGAATGGTGGGGTTTTTTTTCTCTCTCACATTTCAAAATACAGTTATGTGCTGGATTCAACCTGGTTGCTGTGGGTTGCTAACCTTTTATCTAAAGAACTGGAAACCTTGGAGAATTTCCAGCCCTTTCTCTTCTTCCGAGCCCCATTTCATTTTATACGCCTATTCCTTCTATACGCCTATTCCTTCTAAGACATCACCAGCATCTAAGAGGGTAATATTCCCAGTCATCACTAATGTGTGGGGGGTCTTTAGGCTGGTGGCCCATTTCTGCAACAGGTAAACTGGTCTTCTGTAGCAGTTCAACAGCAGAGGTACGAATGAAAAGGTCAAAACTGATGATCCCACTCTCAGAAAGCAGGGAGAGCCGGGGGAATTGTTGAATGATTTGCAATAAGCCCGTGATGTTTGTATTTCTGCATGGCTGAGTGACTTCTCTTATACTCAAAGTGCAAGCTTGTTTCACTCCTAGAAGAAAACAGATCATGGTCCTGGAGCAGAGGCACGATATGGTGATTCTGGGGAGCTTTAGTTATCTAGACATCTGCTAAAAGTAGAGCAACTAATGCTTTCTTGACTTGTCTTAATGATCATTTCATTCTCCAAAAGGTGGAGGAAACAAAGAAGGGAAATTCTAGATGCAATTCCTGCCAATGAGAAGAAACTGTATGGTGGGGTGGAACCGATGAGAATTTGGGGGGGAAGTAATGAGTCCATCTTAAGGCTCGTGATGGGGGGGGGGAAGAAAAGGAGGGAGATAGAGCCTATATTAGATTGCATGCCATCTTGGGGAGGGAGAGAAAATTTAAAACTCAAAAGCTTATGGAAATGAATGTTGAAAACTAAAAATAAATTAATATTAAAAAAAGAAAGGGAAGGAGATAGAGAGATGCAGAGTGGAGGAGAAAGGGAGAGGAAGAAAAAAGGACAGAGAGAAAGAGAGAGAGAGACGGGGAGGAGAGACAGACAGAGAGTGAAACAGAGAGACAGAGAAAAAAAGGGAGGAGGAGAGATGGAACAGAGAAGAGAGGAAGAAAGGAAGACAGAGAGAGGGAGAGACAGAGACAGAGAGAGATGGAAAGAGAGGGAGAGAGAAAAGGATGGAGAGAGAGGGAGGGAGAGACAGGAAGAGAGAGGGAGAGGGAGAGAGAGAGAGCCGAGCTTCAGTCTAATGTATACCCTAAATTGGGAGAGAGAGATTTCAAAGGTTTCAAAAGATAAGTAGGATCTCACAGAGTAAAATTCTACAGGTGAAGAAAAGCAGAAAGGGATAGGAAGTTCTCAAAAACAAGTCTCTGAGGCCTGAGTGGAATAATTTTCAGGATGAGGAAGAAGGGCAGTTATCTAAAAAGACCAATGTGGATGCACAGGGAACTCACCCCATCTTAGATTTTAAGAAGTTATGTCCAGAATTTAGGATCCAGAGCAAGTCACAAAAGCACAGCGTGATCCAGGAAAGACAGCAATCAGTGCGGTAAACTTAAGTTTAAGTTAAGAGTTAAGGCTGCCGGTAAAGGCCAAAAACAATATAAACGGTTTTGTTTTTTAAATTTTAATTTATATTTGGGAACAGAGGGGACCAGAAGGGCTAGGATTGCTGCTTCAAGCAGATGAGATGATAACTTGTGACAGAATTTCTCAATTTGTATTTTGTTCATTTTCTCTGCCAAGAAGAATGAGCACTGGACTGGAAAGGTCAGAACAAAGATGGCTAAAAAAGAACTGATAGGCACAACAGGTACAGAAATAAGGAAAGGGCCCCATCATGGCTGTGCTTAAAGAGTCCATGTGACCTGGCCCGTTCTTGACTCGGGGAGGGTCTGTGGACGTCCCAGCGGAGCCCCCTTAGCCATGGCTGAAAGGTTATGGGAGATGGGGGAGGCCCCGAAGGACTGAGAGGGGAAATGCCATCCCTATTTTCAAAAAGAAGAAGAAAAACTATAGGTCAATGAGCTTGGCACTGATTCCCAAGAAAATTTTATTGAAAAAAACAAAGGGATGGTTGGTTAACATCTAGAGCAAGAAGCAGCGGTTACAAAGAGCCAACAAGGCTTCATGCCCTACCAACCTAATTTCCTTTTCTGGAGGAAAGCAGAGGTGTGCGGCTCCTGGAATCCAGAAGTTCTGAGTTCAGATCCACCTCAGCCTATTACTAGCTGTGTGACCCTGGGCAAGTCAATTAACCTCAGTTTCTACATGGGTAAAATGCAAAAAATAATAAATACCCACCTCCTAGAGGGTTGTGAGGATCAGTCAAGATAACATCCCTGTGCCTGCCACATAGCAGGCATCTGATAAATGCTCATTTCCTTGCTTTCTTTTTGACAGGGCTACTAAACTGGTATAACAAGGGAATGCTGTGCATGGAGCTTAGCTGCTTTTTTTGAGCCAAGTATTTAATAAACTTTGATATATATATATATATATACACATATGTATGCACACACATAAAACACATATAACACATACATAAATAAAAATAAAATATATATATACAAATACACACGTGTTTATATATACACAGGGTCACACACACATACATGTGTGCATGAATCTTTACACATACATACATGTACACACCTGTGTGTATACACACCGAGATGTGGGCTGGACACATAGCACAATTAGATAGATTTAGAACTAGCTGAATGGCCAGACTTAAAAAGCAGTCGATAAGATTTGATGACAGCTTGCAAGGTCTCTGGTGTAGAACCCTAGGGAGCTGTACTATTTAACACTTTCCTCAGTGACTTGGATAAAGACTTAGGATGGCAACTTTGCCAGATTTGCCAATGACGCCAAGCTGGGTGGGAATGCTGCCATACTGAATGACAGAGGCAGGGTTTCCCCTCCCTCCCCCAACATACACACTGACAAGCTATGTATATATGTATATGTGTATAGCACGCACGCACATATATATGTATATATGCATGTGTGTATATGTGTGCTGTGGCCCAATGCTCTAGCATATATATGTGTGCATGTGTGTATGTGTGCATGTCTCTATCTATCTATAAATATACATATATACATACACACATTATATATGCATGCGTGTATATGTGTGCTGTGGTCTAATGCTCTAGCATATATATATATATATATATCTACACATACATACACATTTGTGTGTGTATATACGTGTGCATGTCTCTATCTATAAATACACACATATATATACACATATTGTATATATGCATGTGTGTATATGTGCGCTGTGGTTCAATGCTCTAGCATTATATATATTATATATATAATATATATATTTGTGTGTGTGTGTACATGTGCATGTAGCTATCTATAAATACACATATACACACATATATGTATATATGCCTGTGTGTTTATGTGTGCTGGGGTCCAATGCTCTAGCATATATGTGTATAAATAATATGTGTGTGTGTATATGTATGTGTGTATCTATATCTACATATCTATAAACACACACATATATACCGAGGAGCTGGAGCATTGGACCACGGCAAATATGATTAGGTTTATGAGGGATAAATACTGTATTACATTTGGGATTGTTAAAAAAATCAGCTTCACAAGCACAATATGGAAAGAGTGCTGAATTTGAACTCAGGGTTAGGTAGGTTCAAATCTTGAGTCAGCTACTTATTTGTAACATAGCCTTGGACAAATTGCTTCATTTCTCTGGATTACTGGTCGTCATCTCTTAAGTGAGGAGGGAGGAGTTTCAAGGTCCCTCCTGGCCCTGCCTTTACAATCCGATGGTTGTCAACATGGTGATGTGACAACCAAGAAAGCTACTGCAATCTGAGGCTACCTTGGGATAAGCACAGGGTCCAGATTAGGGAGGTATCTGATAGCACCTCTGTACTCTGCCCTCACCAGCCCACACTGGGAGCACAGAGTTCAGTTCTAGGCGATGCATTCAGAAAGGACACTGATAAAGCTGGACAGTAACTGGAGGAGGGTGGCTAACTGGGATGGTGAAAGGATCTCAGTTTCGTGCTATAGGAATACTGGTTCAGCCCAGAGCGAGGGAAAAAGACTGAGGAGAGGGCCATGAAAGAAGTCTTCCAGCATTTAAAAGGCTATCATATGTAAGTATTATAGACTTGATATATCTAGTTCCAGAGGGGCAAGAAGTGGAATTTACAGAGAATCAAATTTAAGCTTGATGTTGGTGAAAAAATTTCCTAGAGCTATTTAAAAACAGAATGGGGTACGTCAGGAGGTAGTAGGTTCCCCACTCCCTGGAGATATTCAGTCAATGGCTGGCCACCTGTCAGAGATATTACAGAGGGAATTTGTTTTCAGGTGTAGGCTGGTCATGGAGGACCCTACCAACTCTGAACTTCTGCGATAATGAGGAGGAAGGTGGCCATTAGTTCTGGGAGAGAAGGGTGGTGTGGCAAAGGTTAATAAGTTAATGGTTGCAAAGTACTCCGTGGTGCTGGGGAAGGCAAACCTCCTTTGAACTGGTAGGAATAGAGCTGGGAGCAAAGTTCGCGCTCCTCACATCATCTTAACAGGCCCCACAAGCTCAGGGGGTCCCCACGGCAGACTAACTGGGGCAGTGACAGAATCTTTTAATCTACTTATATTTGAATATAATGGGGAAATTGGGTATTTAACAGAAAAAGGAGGCTCTACCCGGACCCTGGCTTTTGCAGTGCCGTCTGACCCAATCCTATCTGTCCAATCTTATCTCTCCTGACTCCCCCAGTTCACTCCTTCCACACTCCAGGTGGACTGACCTCAGTGTTCCCCAGCACACACTGTCCTGCAAGTAATGTGATCAGCACGATTCTTGCCTCCTAGGCCTTTTTTTCATGCTAATAATAGCTCGAACTTATATAGCCCTTTACATATATTACCTCATTTAAGGGGCTGCTATTATCCTAATTTTACTGATAAGGAAACTGAGGCAGACCAGAGGTTAAGCGACTTGTCCAGGGTCACTCGACTAGGAAGTGTTTGAGGCTGGGTTTGAACTCGGGACTTGTTGACTTAATGCTCAATGTTGCTTCCCTAAAATGCTCCCCCTGCTTCTCTCTGCTGATTCAGATTTGAGTCAATTGACATACAAATACATGCTCCTGGCTTCCAGGATTGGAGGGAAACCTAAGATCAGTCTTACTCAGCCTCCTCATTTTACTTGTCAAAACCTCTGACTATTCCATTCCACAGAAAACTCTCCCTTTCTATTTCAACTGAGTAACTGCACTTACCGAATTTGGCATTTAAGCAAATGATGTTTTGTGCAGAGATCAAGAACCAAGTGTATTACACTTCTAATCCCATAGTTCTAACACAGTGTTGGGCACATTCTAGGACACACTTTCCATAGGCCGATTTATAGTCCATGATCCAAATCCCAAACTGGCATTCCAGGGGGCCCAGATGTATAGCCTCGTCTGAGCTGTATCCCTGGGGCATAAGTAATTTAACTGCCCGGTGTGATCTGAGGGACCTGGAGACTTGAGGAGCCCAGAGATTTTGAGGAAAGGCTTGAAGGGGGTGAGGGAGAAAGTTCAGGGCTTGTCAAACTGGCTGGCTGGTAGGGGGAGGGAAGCCAGGCACAGCAAAAGGCTGATGTTGGGGACCAGCCAAAAAATGGTGGGGAGGGGGTGACACAGGACATTTAGATCCAAGTCACCAAAAATAAATCTAATCATTTTCTCATTTCTCTCTAGGGAGAAAATGACCAGCAATTAGACTTTTAAGAAAGCTGAGTGTGGCATTATCTATTTATGTTTCGAAGTTATGCCTGTAAGAGGCGGTGGTTGTTATTTGTCCCCTTTCTTGAAGAGAACCATGACATCAGGAAGGGGATGCCGTGACTTGCAAGTGAATTGGCTCTAAGGGACGGAGGGCTGTGCAAGGTCACCAGCCTCACTCTTTCCTCCACCATCCCCTGCAAAAACCTAACGGGAGATAACTTCTTAGGTAAGAGAAGATTATCACTGCAAGCAGAGCTTTAGACAGTCAATTTCATTCTGTCATCCAGACTCTACTCCTACACGGGATAGAATGCTGGAAGGATATCCTGGATTCAAATCTCAAAGGCTCAGTCTTGCAAACTGTGTGCCTCTGGGCTGTCACTTTAACCTGTCTGTATCTCAGTTTCCTCATCTGTAAAATGAGGGGAGTGAACTCAAAGGTCCCTTCCAGCTCTAAATCTACGATCCCCGACCACGGGAATGTGCTCAGGCCTCCAATGGGGGAGGAGAGAGGACCCAGCGTGCCAGTTCCCATCCCCCCTGCCCAGCCCGGGGCGCGGGGCCGCGAAAGCGCGCCTCCTTCTTGCATCAGACGGAGGTGGCCCGGGGCTGTCCTGGCTCCGCAGAGCCGCCCACCCTGCAGCTCCTGCAGCAGCCCCGGCCTGGGCTCGGCCAGCACTCCCAGGGAGCTGAGTGCACCAGCCTAAAGTAGGGCTGGTGGTACCCCCGTGGCCTAGGAGGTGTCCAGCTGGTTTGAGAAGCTAGCACTCCCTGTCTACAGTCCTGAGCCACGCACCCCTCCCCCGCCGAAGAAACGCGCTGTCCCGTGCCAAGCACCGCCCCTCCAGCCTATTCATGTACCTCCAAGCTTATGAAATGCATCCCCCGCACACCCCCGCCCCAGGTCAATAAAGTGCACTCTGCCCCATGCCAAGTACCACCTTCCTCAGCACCATGCAATGCACCCCCACTCCGTCCCATGCAATGCCCCTCCCCCCAGTTCCACGCGATGCACCCCAGTCCTCCACAATGCACCCCCAGTCCCACGTGATGCACTCCTAGGCTGACACGATGCACCCCCTCCCCTAGTGTCCCATGAAATGCACCCCCTCAGTCCCATATGCTGCACCCCTTGGCCCACGCTATGTACCTCACCTCAGTCCCTAGCCAATGTCCAAAGACCCCTCCCACTACCCTCCTTCCTCCTGTCCCCACGGGGTCTTTGGTGATCAGAATTAGAGCAAAGACAGTTGGCACAGGGGCTCGAGATGGGGCACTACTCTCATTTCTGTGCCCGCTGAAAACCCGCCCAAACAGTAACGCCTCTGGTTAAAAAGAGTTCAGCAGAAAGTTTGTACCTCCAGCCCCCCCGTTGCTACAAAGCCCTCAAGGCTCACGAGACACAGACCGGTTCACAGAGTCCGTTCAGGGCCAGGGCAGCCCCCAGCCCTGGAGCCCGAGCTAGCCCGGGGGATGCGAGGATGCGGGCTGGCCCGGTCCCGCGCTGCCACGTTACCTGCAGCTCGGCTATCAGCTCCTCTTTGCTCAGATTCTGCTTCTCCACCACCTGCAGCCCTCCGTCCTCCAGGATCTTGCGGCAGCAAGGATCCAGGCTGTCACTGATTAAGACCTTCCGGAGATTAGCAAAGGCCATGGTCAGAATCCGCCTCCAGACCAGCGCTCGAGTTCTGCAGGAATCACCAGGAGACAAAACTTGTGCTCTCCTAACTGAGCCAGATTCTCTTTGGGTTTGTTTTTCTCCTTGCATTGATTGGGCAGAAACGTTCAAAATCTCCATAATCCCTCCTTCTTCGCCCCCCCCCCCCCCCCCGGCAACCAACCTTCCTCACCGTCTCCCCGCCCATTTTGCTCTTCCTGTGATGAATTAATTTCTTTGAAGCACTTTCCCACACTTGGTGCCTACATAAAAACACAAATTATGTTCATTTGACTGGCGTCTGAAATGAAATACGAAAAGCCCAATTCATAATAGCAGAAAATGGGTCTTATCTCCTATTTCTTCCCTCCTAAGAAGGAAGCTTTCATTCATTTATTTAGTCATTCATTCAATATATATTCACCTCTCACGGTGTGCCCAGCACTGTATAAGACACAAAGAGTTAGACAAAGATGTCTAAGACCGGATTCCTGCCCTAAACGACCTCAGGATCTAAAAGGAGATTGGGTATCAAACGTGTGAACAGTACAGGAGGCAGTGTCACAAGGATGAGTCACAGGACTTGGAGGCTGGCGGGCACCTTGCAGCTTCCTCAATTTCCACGAGGAAACTAAAAACCAGAGAGGTTTGCCCCAAATCAGGATCTGAACCCTCTGCTTCCTGCTTAAGGGCCAAAGGACTGATGCAGACAATAGTTTTCCAGATTTAGAGCTGAAGCATGGATGCTGCCTCCTGGGATCGGGTGGGACTGCTAGATTGTCAAGTTGAACATTTACATCTTGGAAATAGGCAAACAGTACAAATCAGGGCTTGGTTTAGCGTTTTGTTTGTTGTCCAGACTTAAGAAAGTGATGGAGAAAATGCTAACCGTTCAGATTAAACGTAAGAGTGTACGTGCATACATTTTCAGAAAGCCACCTGTTAAATGTTTACCACCACATCCCTGCCTTCTCTTAGCTTCACTGCGCCCACTTCACAAAAACCCCATTGCTTTAGAAAGAAAATTTTACTTTTAAGAAGTCCACTTAAACTCTTGTAATGTGAGTGAAAAACAAACAATGAAAAACAAATATTTGGGGGCCTGGAAGAGCTGCTGGTGGGGATAGGATGTGCACAATTCTTTCAATTTTCATTTACTGGTTTAGGACCAGCCAAATCGACCAGCATTTATTAAGTCAGACAGTCAGTCAATAAACATTTACTCATCATCTACTTTATACCAGGTGTTGTGTTAGAAGCTGGAGATACAAAGGCAGAAATGAAAAAATTCCTACTTTCAAAGAATTTATTTTCTATAGGAGGGATAAGATGTACACATTTGTTGTTGTTTTGTCCATTAGTTGTGTCCGATTTTTCATGACGCCTTTTGGGGTTTTCTTGGCAGAAATACTGGAGTGGTTTGCCATTTCCTTTTCCAGCTCATTTGACAGATGAGGAAACTGAGGCAAACAGGGTGAAGTGACTTGCCCAGGGTCACAAAGATAGTGTGTTAGGCACTAGCAGCTGGAGAGCCCAGAACTGCCTCAAGAAGGAGGTGGTGGATGTAGGTTCAGAACTTTGGAGAAAAAAATGGTTTCTGAGGGGAAGAAGGGAGAAGGGGGCACATTCTAGGCATTAGAGTGGACTGTGTAAAAGCCCAGAAATAGGAGATGGGAACACAAGAAGGCCTGTTTGGCTTGACCAAAGAGTGTGTAGAGGGGAATATTGTATAATAAGGCTAGAAAGGTGTGTTGGAGCCAGGATGTGGCTCTTGGATCCCAAAGAGGATCTTAATTTACAATCACAGGGGTTCATTGAGTAGGGAAATGACATGGTATCTAGGGGACCCAGTGGATTGAGTGTTGGACCTGGAGATAGGAAGAACTGTGTTCAAATCCTACCTTAGATACCTGACTGTGCGGGCAAGTTACAACCTCTCTGTGCCTCTATTTCCTCATCTGGAAAGTAGTGTCCATCTCCCAAGGTGGTTGTGAGGATAAAATGAGATAATACATGTAAAACACTTTGTCAGTCTCAAAGTTCTGTGTAAAATGCTAGCTATTATTATAATAGTATCGCACATACTATATTATTATAGTATAGCACATATAGATGAGAGGGAGGAGATGGAGAGAGAGGGAAGGAGGGAGAGAGAGAGAGAAAGAGAGAGAGAGACAGAGACAGAAAGAAAGAGAAAGAGACAGAGACAGAGAGAGACAGAGAGAGGAGAGAGAGGGAGAGAGAGATGGGGGAGTTGAGAAAGAAAGAATAGTGTGGAGAATGGATTAAAGAGAGAAGTCTGGAGGCAGGGAGAATAGGCAGCTATAGAAACAGCCCAGGGGAGAGGTGATGAGGGTGGTGTCCATGTGAGGGTCTAGACAGAAGAGATTCTGAACATAGAACTGATGATTTAGCAATTGATGGGATATATGAGGTAAGCGCGAATGAGGAGCTGACTCCAAGGTTGCCAGCCTGTCTAACTGGAAGAATAGTACTGCTGCCCTCAGGAGAAATAGGGAAGTTTGAGAAAGGGACGGATTGTGGGAAAGTTCTGTTTGGGCCAAGTTGGGTTGGTATCTTCCCAGGACTTTCACTTCATAATGTCTAATAAGCGGTTGATAATTTGGGACTGGAGTTCAGGAGAAAGACAACAGCTGGATATATTACTGTGGGAGCCATTTGTGTGGAGATAACTGACCTCCTGGAAGCTGATGAAGTCAAAAAGACAGCACACAGAGAGAAAAGGGAATAGGGCCCAGGACAGGGCCTTGGAGCAAACTCTTCTTTTCACTTGGCAATTTCCTACGGGCAGCCCTGGTTCTCAATTATTTTATCTTCCAATTCTTTTTAATAGAAAAATCTTTGGCTCAAACTGCCCAAGAGAGGATACTGTCATACATGGCCTGTTTTGTGAGTCAGAAGACCATGAACCCTATCTTAATTCATGGGAATAGTCCTGGTGCTTTAGATCCAGAAAAAAGAATAAAGATAATAACTTCAAATGTATATATGTATACATCTACATACACACATACACATACATATATGTATGTATATACACACACATATATGTATGTGTATATATACATATGTGTATATATACATATTATATATATATATATATACACACATACACATACACATACACACACACACATATCTGCCATCACAATAAAACCATTTGGAAGGCTAATAGAGTATGGGACTTTACCTGTTGTTAAAACTATCTGGAAAAGAGGAGTAAGACGGTAAAGAAAATGTTGGTGACCAAGCCCAACTCTCTTCTCTTCTGCCTCAAAAGAAGGAGCCAAATAAGAGAGAGGATACAGTTTGGTGACTGGGAGAAATTCTGTTGTTTGCCCCTGAAGTACTGTACATTGCAACCTTACTCTGTAACTTAGTATTTCCATTGTTTGTTTTATTTCTACCCTGACCTTTGTTTACAAAAAAGTCATGTTTTAACCAATGCTTGTCTCCAGTGATTCTTTCTGAGAAGAGGCCAGAAGGTGGTGTTTCTACTCTTCATCAAAGAGGCCAGGTTGGAGCTGGTAGCAATGTTGGGAAATCCACTAACCCCTGGAGATTTTGTCAAATAGATAACACCACCAAAAGAGTGGACTGAGGGATTTTTTTCCCTGCTGTTGTGAACTTAATCCTTTCATCTTCATTCCCAGAAGCTAAGCCCAGGGAAAACAAAGGTTCCCTATTAGACTGGAGGGTGCACTGGTTAGAGCACTGGGCTTGGAGTCAGGAAGATTCATTTTCCTGAGTTCCCTCAACGTTTACTGCTATGTGACCCTGGGCAAGTCACTTCACCCTGTTGCCCCAGTTTCCTCATCCATCAAATGAGCTAGAGAAGGAAATGGCAAACCACTCCAGTATCTGGCAAGAAAACCCTAAATGAGGTCACGAAGAGTCAGACATAACTGAACGATAACATTTGATAAGTGAGGAATCCAAGGCAAACAGAGGTTAAGTGACTTGTCTAGGGTCACACAGCTAGGAGATGTCTGAGGCAGGGTTTGAACTGGAAACTTCCCTGCTCCAACTCCAATACACCATCCTCTGCACCACTCTTTGCCTTTAACATTTTACTATCACTGACAATTTTACTTGAAGTAAGGGGAAGTACCCAGAGTCACACCATTCCTCTTCTGGTCAACATTAACTGTTAGGGAGTTTTTCCTTATATTTGGTCTGAGGCTTTCTCTCTGCAGCTTCCACAATGTGCAGCTAGTCCTGCTTTTGGGCACAATGAAGAGTCTAACGGATAGTCTTTCCTTACTTAAGACTGCTTTCCATGGTCTTCCACCTGCTATCACCCTTACCCCAACCCCAATCTTCTTTCCTCCAGTCTAAATCACCATATGGCATGGTGACCAGTTCTCCCACCATCCTGGTCACCCCCTTCTCACTGCATTCCAGTTTGTATGTGTCTTTCTTCAAACATGGCAGAACTAAATACCGTACTCCAAATGTGGACTGACCAGGGTGAAATGCAACAGGATTATTACTTCCTTGTTCTGAACTTTCTTAATGAGTGACTTTTTTTTTCATTTTTAGGCACTTGGAGTTAAGTGACTTGCCCAGGATCACACAGCTAGTAAGTGTCAAGTGTTTGGTCTGAGGCTGGATTTGAACTCAGGTCCTCCTGACTTCAGGGCCAGTGCTCTATCCACTGCGCCACCTACCAGCCCCTATGAGTGACTTTCGAGGATCCTATTTGGAGCAGTGGATAGAATACTTGGCTTAGAGTCAGGAAGACTTGAGCTCAAATCCAACCTCAGATGCTTACTAACTGTGTGACTTTGGGCAAGTCACTTAACCTCTGTTTGCCTCAGTTTCCTCAACTGTAAAATGGGCATAATAATATCACTCCCAAGGTTGTAGTGAGGATGAATGAGATTATATCTGTAAAGTGCTTAGAACAGTGCCTGGCAGTATATAAATGCTAGCTATCATTATCATTATTATAATATATATTGAAATATTCACAG